TGGCTGCCACGCTGTGCCAGCTCAGCTGATCGTCAGCACAACGTGGCAGTCAAGACGTGTATCGGTCGATGAGGAAAGCCTTTGCTGACCAATCCCTTATGCCTCATGAAACGAGGTTTACAGGATCGGTCGGCAAAGGCTTTCCTTGCTGACCGATCCGCGTCTTGACTGCCGCGTTGTGCCGACGATCAGCTGAGCCAGCACAGCGTGGCGGCCATTTTTATTTTAATGAAGTGGGGGATATTTAAATCCCCGCTTCATTGACTATGTCGGCTAGTCTAATTTACATGCCTCTGCCTGCAGAGGCATGTAATCTAGACATACCCCAAGTGTTTTCATTGAAAGTTATTTAGGGACTGTGACAGGGCACTGGTCCTGCACTGGCCCTTTTAAGAGCAAACCATGGCCCGAAGCAGGGTCTGGGAATTTGGCCCCAGCTGAGGTCATGTTAGATGATTGGGGCCCAGCTGGGAACCATATAAAATGATGGGCTGCTGCTCCTGTAAGGGGGGCAGTGAGAACCTGGCTGCTGAGGGAGGAGGAGGCTCCCTGGAGCTCAGGCAGGGCTAGGGGAGCTCTGGCCAGCAAATCCTCAGACTGCAGGGCTTGAAAGAAGGCCGATGAAGGAACATCGACCCCCGGAAGGGGGGCTCAGAGACAGACTTGGGCACTGCCGGAGGGCAGTGTGGCGAAGAGGACGCCGCAGCCGGGAGTAAAGAGGGGAGACATCACCCCAGAGAAGGCACCCTACCCGCCGAGGGAGCCAATTCCTGAGGACAGACGGCAGGGGGGTTACGGTGGTGAGTGCACCCCCCTCACAGGGACTTAAGAGCCTAAGGCTATGTCTACGCTAACATATTTGTCGGGATAACTTATGTTGCTCAAGGATGCGGAAAACCACACCCCTGGACAATATAAATTACGCCAACTGACACACTGGCATGAGCAGGACTTTGTCAGTGGGAGATGCTCTCCTGCTGATGTAGCTACCGCCACTTGCGGGGGCTGTTTTTAATTATGTCAATAAGAACAGAATGGCCACACTGGGTCAGACCAGAGGACTATCTAGCCCAGCATCCTGTCCTCTGACAGTGGCCAATGCCACGTGCTCCCAGAGGGAATGAGCAGAACAGGTAACCATCAAGTAATTCACCCCATCACCCACTCCCAGCTTCTGACAAACAGAGGCAAGGGACACCATTCCTGACTAATAGCCATTGATGGAACTGTCCTCATGAAATTATCTAGCTCTTTTTTTGAACTCTGTTGAAGTCCTGGCCTTATTTAGCTTAAAAAAAAAAGCACCCACCTCACTTCAATCTACCCTCCTTGTTATTTTTCTTGTGTCCTACATTTGAGCTTTGACAGATTGAGGTAGGTTGGTTAAAAAACAATGGGAGAGCTCTCTCCTGTCGGCATAGATGGTTTACACGGGAGATCTTACAACAGCACTGATGCATCAGTACAACCGTGCTGCTGTAAATTCTCCGGTATAGACAGAGACTGGGTCTAACTGCTAGTCAATGGGATGCAGGCTGCTAAGTTGTTTAGGAGCTCTTGTAAATATGATTCACTCTCTGAGTGCTAGATTAAGAAACTGACAAGACTCCATGATTTTTACAGTGTGGTTGGTCTCTATGAAAGAGAGAAGAGAGCTGAGGTGATATCTTTAATAGAACTACTGCTTGTGGCTGAGGCAAACTCTTTTTCAGGATTTGAAGCCACACGCTTGTCTGTCACCAACAGAAGTTGGTTCAGAAAAGACTCTTGAGAATCTGTGTGTGGGAAAAAGTCTGGAATGTTAATGCAACAGGTCTCCAGCATCCTCCTTGTATGCCATTCATTGACAACTTAATGGACTATATTAAATTCCATCAGCTGCAAGCAGAGCTTATTTGCAGGTTTTCCGTAGGAAGGTTCTCTTTACAAACCAGGTGCCCTTGCAGTGAATGGTTACTGACAAGTCATACTCGCTGAAAAAGCAAGCTGTGTGATAGAGCAGCACATTTAGAATGCTTTGCAGCCCCAAGGATCTCTGTACATAGCGGGCAGTGCGGTCTAGGTACAACACCCCAGAAATGGAGAAACTTCTGGGATGGAGGGGAGCCACCAACGGCGCAATATTTGGTGTAGGGGAGAGTTTGGGCAAGAAGCTCAGGGCAAATAAAACCCATCTACTTTCATAGAAAATGCAGTGGGATCTAATAGGATCTTTACGACAGTGCTTTTCAATCTCTCATGCAGAGATGCCTGGGGAGCTGCAAACCATGTCAAAGGTGTCCACAGAAAGTTGTCATTGCCATAGAATGGTGGTTTCCAAGCCAGGATTCATGGGCCCTTGGGATCTGCAAACTCAGATTTCCAAAGGAGTCCCCATCAGTGTTCCTTGGAAGCTGTGTGTGTATGCAGCTTCCCAGCCTCCCCACCCCACCCTGCTGATTAGCCGAGTGCCCAGAGTTAGTTTTTTTTTTGTTTCTACTAGTGCCGCACATTCACATGTCTCGATGCACACAACCAAATTTATTCTGCACATGGATAGAAAAAATCCACACATGGACACCGTTTTCATAATTGCAAGTGGTGTTAACATTTGGGCTTTGATTCTCCCCTTAATTCCACCATGGAGTTCAGAGGTGTTACTTTGGATTTACTCCAGTGCAAGCAAGAGGAGAATCAGACTCACTCGCTCATGCCTGGCATGATAAAGAGATGAAACTTGGAAATGAATTCCCATCCCTGCGTTATTAAGAACAAGCTAACAAATTTTAAACTACATTTCACAGGCTGGAGATGAATGAGCGATGGCATCGCTGTAAGCTGCCTTCAGAAAATTCCATTAGGAGTCTGCATTTTATTTTTCAGGTCAGTCTAATTAGAACATGTGAGCCAAAATGCTCTCAGACAGAAAAAATAAACCTTACTCAATTTCATTTCTCATGATTGTAGAACATGCAGCTGAGGAAAGGGAAAAGAGGGAAATTCTGGAACACAACTCTCTCTGTATTGAATTTTAGATCCCTGTTAGCAAAGAGCCACCGTATTTTCTAGGAGGTACCAACAAATAGAATTTACAACCATTTTAGAAAGGAGTAAACTGAGGCACAGCCAGGCAGAGTGACTTGCCCAGGTCAGTGGAAAGGTCTGGCAGAGAGCAGCAAAACCGAATTCTGCCCCAAAAGTTCCTAATCTCTAGTCATTTTCTTTGACCACTCGATCAGAATTCATCCCTCCCCTGACTCGGACGTTGGCTTCCTTGCCTGGTTGTTGGATTTGTGTTCCTTCTGAGAACAAAATGTGAGTATGTATGTGCTGGCAAGCCACAGAGAAAACAGGTGTCTCTGTCACTCACTCTAAGCCGTACAAGTCACAGAGCCGAAGAGAGAGAAGATAATAGCACTTTCAATGAAAATAAGGTTATTTCAACAACCCCATTTTACCCAGCTCTACAACGTGCACAAGTCTGTCCCAAAACACTATAAAGCGGCAAATATAGACAGCACCTTTTGTGGACTGAGGGTTAAAACCTGGAGGTCTTTACACAGGTGAGTTCCAACTGAAATCAGGACAATGGCTATGATCTACATCGGGGATGGCCCAACTTACCACCTCTCCAAGCTGCACACAACAATCTCCAGAAGTTCAAGAGGAGACATGCCCTGTGGGGGAAGAAGCCCTGAGACCCTCATCTGCCTGCTGGGCAGAAACTCCTACCCCACCACCCTTCTACAAGGCAGAGGTGCTGAGGGCCCCTTAGTCTGGCAGGTGGAGAATAGGGGTGAGTTGATGACTCTAAGAGCCCCAGTTTAACTGGAAAAGAGCCACGTGTGGCTTGCGAGCCGCCTTGCTCTATAGCATCTGGCCCATAGATCTCTGCATGTGCCACTACAAATACATTTCACACAATTGGATTATACAGGCTGCTTTAAATATAGATTTTAATCTAAAATCAGGAAAATTAATTAGAGTGAGTGAAATTAGAGGGCAAGACTATAGATTTCCGCTGATTAAAAAAGAAAATAGCCACAGGCTTCTCCAGGGCACAGTTAAAACAGACCCATTTCATTAAGCTAACTGCATTTTCCTGACGGGAATTATGGGGGTCAGGGGGAGAGAGAACTCCTATCTCCAGCGCTTTTTTAAAAACAGGCTATTGTGTCTTGCAATATTTGTTTGGGCAGGGAAGAGATCAGCAAAATGTTGAGGGAGCGGAAGGAGTTAGAGAAGGGGTTCTCAACAGGCACCCCTGGGATAGCAAAGGTCTGGGGGGCGGAGGGGAAAGGTGGCATCAACCCATTTAGAGATTTGCCTAGTTTTACAACAGGCTGCATAAAATGCACTAGCAAAGTCTCTACAAAACTCACAAGTCAGGCTGACAACGGTTTACTCACACTGCTCTATACACACTGAGCTCTGACACAGAAGTACATTAGTTGCAGTCCAATTGATTTCTAATTGCGCGGTACAAAAAAGCAGCAGCAATCTTTCAGGACCAAGGGTCTGTGACCCTTTGGTATCTGTTATGTCTGGTTTGTAAGCAAGTTGTTTCTAAGGAAGGTGAAACTTTGAGGTTCACTAGACACCGCAGACTCCTGAAAGGGGGCCCAGTCGCCTGGAAAGGTTGACAGCTAGTGAATTGGAGCACCTTGTCCTATAAAGTGCTAGCGCCCTACCAGCTGGAGAACTCATAAATGCTCTTGTTGGGTCCTGCCCCATGGGCCAGCTCTGTTGCACCCCCTGACTGGCATCCTTCCCCAGAGCCTGAAGACTGGATCCATGCAGAACTGGGCACTCGATTACCTCCTTATGTCTTAGTACCTGTTGGCCAAAGAGGAGCAAAGGCCAGATTTAAAAATCCCCACTCGAGCTCTGAAAATAGAGGTGGTGGCCTGTAAATTGGGAGGGGGACATCATCACTCCCCAGTGCAACTCGCGGCCCTTTCCCCCCCTTCCCCCCATCCTGGCTCCTGCGGAGGATGCTGGGGAGCCCCACCTGGCCTCACCTGTCCACGGCGATGGCGGTCATGGAGTAGATGCTGGCGAAGACGGCGGCGATGGGGAAGAAGTTGTGGAACTTGCAGTAGGCCAGCCCGTAGTACCACTCGTTGTGGATGGCGTAGGTGAAGTTGACCACGGTGTTAAAGGCCGCCATGGAGGCTTCGGCGAAGGCCAGGTTCACCAGGAAATAGTTGGTGACCGTCCTCATGCGCTTGTGGGCCAGGATGATCCACATCACCACGATGTTCCCCACCACGGCCACCACCACGATGAGGGAGTAGGCGGCGGCCCAGAGGGTGACCTGCCAGGCGGGCTGCTCGAACAGGTTGGCCTCGGCGGATTTATTGAGGGAGCGGTTGTGGGGCAGCGCGCTCGCGTTCTCCTCGGCGGAAAAGAGGAGATCCATGTCCCGCTGTCTCCCAGCAGATGTGCTGGGGGGG